ATCAGCTCCCTTGACGACAAGATCTAGCAGGGTTCTTTTTTATATCTTCAAGTTCGATATGAGCCTCCAAAACAAACGTGCAGTCGGGTCACGTTTCCACTGTTTACAGGAGTAGCCGATTTCATTGTCCCTGCTGACTCCCCGTAATTATTAGACCAAGCCAAACTCAGGGAACCTCTTGCTATAGTCAGGTCTTCTATGGTATATGACTGACTAACAGTAATGGAGCAGCTTTTCTAGAGTCCCCCCATTTGGAAACTTGGCCTTAGCCTTTTACAGGAGAGTCGAGTCTTTAAGATGAACTTTGCGTAATTAGGGCATGCAAGTCTTCAGCCATGTGATGGCCTCGCTTTCTTTAGAGCAGGTGCTCAATTAGAGCTTAGAGCACTGCGCCAACATTCGTATATTGACACATGACTCTAAGAGCGACCTCATTTCCCGCATTGTAGGCTAATACAAAACACTAAGTGCCATCTGTACTCGGGATGGCTTCTCGTTCAATGAGTTGATAGTTCAGGAGAACGCTCGTCATCATTGATATCTCCTTGTAGCAGGACCCTCAGCATCTCGATCAGCGGAGCTGTGATAAGGTCGAGGGGTCAAAAGAGGCTTCAGCCTCCAGGTCACAAAGGTAAAGAACGCCAAAAAGAAACAAATACGGGCAAGATACTCGTCGCCCTCACTATTGCCTAGGATCTTGCTTTTGGCTGAAAGCTAGATATCCTGATGACTGACTCCAGAGGTATATAAATAAGTGGCTGGATCAGCAGAGCTGAGTGCCAGTTGGACGGACTTTTACGTGATGGATGCACCTATTTTCTGAAATGCATCAGTAGTACGATGATGCCAGGAAATGGCTTCGATGAACTTTTTATCTAGTGATTGTCCCCCCAAAGTGTAACTCGTTTGCAACAAACATGCCTAGAAAACGAAGCTTAACGTCCTTTAAAGTGTCGAGCCTGATAAGTGACAGCCTATTTAGGACTTCATCTCTTCTTCTAATGGCAGCAAACATTATCCAGAGAATAGAAAATTCCATTACAGACACAGCCTCTTCGATAGATGGATGTACTCTGACTTTGATCAGGGGGTTCATTATATGGGTCCTTTTGGCTACGACGCTTGAGGATATATCTTGTTGAGGGGCCTGCACATCTCTTAGGAGGCTAGCTTTATTAAGAAGGCAGTAGAGAGTATGTTTAGTCTTGTAATCGGAGCTTCCTGAGATGCACTTACACACTTGTACGGTAACATTCTTATGCTTGACTCCGTTTCCTGCTGTGCTTAAGTAGGATGCAATACTGAGCTTCTGCATGGAAAGAATGGGAGGCATTATGTGTGTTCGAGTAGTTAGGTAGGCAAGAATAACACCATCGGCGGCTAGACTTACAGAGATCTTCTTCCCAAGCCTGAGTTGTTCAAAAGCTCCTGTTCCACTGATATCCCATTCTTGCTTGACATAACATACTCTATGAATAGTTATATCGAGACAGCAAAGAGCTAAATCCGATCTAAGGTTAAAGAGATTAAAGAGGTCTTATTGAGCGAGTCAACTGTACACGTTGCGGTGATTGGATATAAATACCATGGTTATGGGCCTAATATAGAATTCTTCGACTTTACTATATCTATTACGGAGGTGTACAACTTCTTGACCAGCCTTTGGGTATCTGGTGGTGGAAATATCTCTGAGGATGTTCTGGGCGGTAGCTCTGTAAGGAGTCAGTCTTCAACACGGGATAGATAACAATAATTACTGACAGCGTGATGGTATCGACAGCCAGACTGGGTGCCCGACGATTTGTTTCTAGAAGCACTTTGGACGTCGCGACTTTTCGCTTGCCTCTGGTGGCCCAACTCAGTGCCACCAGCTTTCCTTCGTGGCCTGAGAGAATATCATAAATGTCGCTAGCCACTGCGAAGCAGCTTGAGACAATCTCGTGAATGTCTCTCTGAGTGTTATTTGTCAAATCACTATCCGCAAAGTTACAGCAATCAGGCACCAGATCCTTCACCTGTGTCAGAGTTCTGGTCAAGGAAGGTGGACAAGTCTTGGCTGATGGCGGCCAAGTCATTTTTCGCGTCTTTGCAACCTCTTACAAACTGCGATATGATCTTGTAGGTCTGATCCGCAGATTGGATCACATCGATGCAGGCCGCGGCTACTGAGAGGCCATCCATAACAGTTTGGGCGCCAGGAAGGCCAAACTAAAAAGTTGCGGCAGTTTTAACGGTTTGGTCTGAGCTTGGGAGAAATATAATCGGGAACAAAGAGCAATTCTGGGAGCAGGGAACAGTCAGAATCAGGAGATAACAAACCAGGCTGTGAAATTATGCAGCTGCAAGCCACCAATTGAGCTGATGTGCCTTGGTGTACGCCTCATGAGGCATTGTCAGATACTCGCCCATCTCGCCCTGGCAACCTTCATTCAATCACTTTGCCTTCATTTCTGCAATAGTGCAATTAGCAGGGCATCCTCGTACCTAGGTATATATCACATATCAATCTGGAAATTGTTGATGATAGCTCCGGAAATATCGCGATTCCGAAAGTGGCAGGTCTGCTATTTTAATCGACGCGCAGGGTTTCCTGCATAGGCGATTGTTTCTTCCAGCCCAAAAATTACTCAGTGGTCCATTCCAGGGCTTCCCCGGATTTATATGCATGAGCGTGTTTCACTGAGCAGGTTCTGCATGTTGATGGCCTGCAATCACTCGATTAACCTTGAATATTTTCCGAACGAAGCCTGGGGTAGCATTTCGACAACTACCTACCCAAGTATTGAATAAGAAGGAAAGTAGGCGCCAGTCAAACGTTAGTTGACATCTGAATACGTATTACGAGTTATGTAGTTAGATTCAGGACCTCAAGGTTCTCGGATCTAGGATATAAATAACACCACAGCCCCCTCACTCAGTTGAAGATCTTTAGCGTCTTCTCCTCTCACTCACCACCACCAAATTCACCGCCGAGACACGATCAACCTACCAGCTCTCAATGCAACACAGTGCATCTCCTCTTTCACTTCGGGCATTATCCCATCCGGTCATTACCCCTCTCCAAATCCCACCACCAAGCACCATAAACCGGATTTACGGAAAACGGCAGATCAAAACGGACAAGAATGACTTTAGATCGCGGCCATTCAGCCCTTTTCTTATTAGAACGGTTCCCCGCCCCACGATGGGAAGCCCCGCAAACGCCCCTCCTCATAAGATTACTCTACTTGAGATCATTTAAGAAGCGTTTCTGAAGACCAATTCGCTCCTGCAAGCTTGTTTGAACTTTATACGTAATATTTGACAATATGGCACCCACTCTTAAACCTTTCCGCGCTGAGCATATGGGCTCTTTGCTCCGGCCTCAAGCACTTCTTGACGTCAGAGAGCAGATCCGTGAGAAGGGCCTTAGCCCCGAGAACGCCGGCCTTGAGACGGTGGAGAACGACGCTATTAAGGATGTTGTCAAGATGCAGCAAGATCTAGGCTTCAAGGCCGTGACCAGCGGCGAGTTCACCCGTACTCGCTTCTGGGGTCTTATGTGGGACGAGTTCGAGGGAACGACCCAGCTTTCTGACGCCGATGCTTCCATGTTCCGTCTTTACCACCCTGACGTGGTCAGCTTGATCGAGACTGATCGCCAGGTCATGCCTGGAGAGTCTGTCATTGCTGGCGGAAAGCTCTCCCACAGCCCTGAGAAGTCTGTTTCGAACCTCCATGAGCTGAAGCTCGTTCAGAAGTTTGTGCCAAAGGAGGATTGGGGCTCCATCAAGCTTACTATGATTACTCCTGCCTGGTTCCATATGCGTTATAAGCAAGGCAAGGCGTATACTCCCGAGGCGTACAAGAACGATGAGGAGTATTTCAAGGATGTGGCCAAGGTCTACCAGGACGAGCTTGATCAACTTTACAAGGCTGGTCTGCGAAATGTTCAATTTGATGATCCTGGAATGGCGTGTGAGTTGACTTCCTTGGATTTCGATAGCAAAAACTGACACCGAGTAGACTTCTGCAGCCAGAAGTTCCGTGATGGCTGGGCTGCTGACTCTGATAACATTGGCACCGTCGATGATCTCCTAGATGCTTACATCAAGCTCTACAACGACAGCCTTTCCAAGATCCCCTCAGACATGCACACAGGCATTCATCTCTGCCGTGGCAACTTCATCGGCGGCCGTCATTTTGCCGAAGGTAAATACGACATCATCGCCGAGAAACTCTTCCGCAACCTCAATGTCAACACATTCTACCTCGAGTACGATACTGAGCGCGCCGGTGGCTTTGAGCCTCTTCAGTTCCTGCCCAAGGACAAAAATGTCGTCGTTGGTGTTATCAGCACCAAGTTGCCTCAGTTGGAGGACAAGGAGGAGATGAAGAAGCGAGTTTTGAGCGCCGCGGATTGGGTGGCTAAGGGAACTGCTGAGACCCAGAAGGAGGCGCTGCAGAGGATTGCCGTCAGTCCTCAGTGTGGATTCAGCACCCATGAGAGTGGATATCCCCTCAATCTCGAGGAAGAGAAGAAGAAGCTTGCATTGGTTAGAGAGATCGCCGACGAGATCTGGGGCGAGGCTTAAGCATTGTATATATACAGGCGAATAAATAACCAGAAGACAGAAAGTCATGCATTCTGATAACAGATTCAGCGCGTCACAAATTATAAATTACATAGAAAACTACGGATCATGAGGGAAACCAAACCGTTGATTTGGCGTTTTGAAAAACCTGGAGTACATATACTTTTACTGCGGCACTGCAAGCACAGTTCCTCACTACAACCGGCTAAAGCCGGCTATTCTTCCGTAGTATAGTGGTCAGTATGCAAGCTTGTCACGCTTGAGACCCGGGTTCAATTCCCGGCGGGAGAGATCCGCCACATGTTCTAAACATGCGAATCATTTTTTTTGTAGTTTTTGCTCCTGGCGCTTTCTCCTTTTGCCTCTCTTTGGGATGCTGCAACAGGGGTTTTGGTGGTGATGTAAGTTTAGTTTTATCTATAGTTGCTACTCAAGCTCCTCCGTGCTGATCTCCGAAAAGTCTACTGGATCCAATACGGGCTGGTTCTTACCATAGGAATAGATTCCAAACATAGTACCAGCAAAACATCCTCCGTGGGGTGGCATCACTGTTAAAGCACTGGCATCGACAGTGAAAACCTCAGACTCTTTCCCTCCGGCCCTGAGTGAAAGCTCATACTTGGTCGGATATGCACGGATAGCCAACTCAACGTTTTCGAGGTTAGCTTCTAGATCTGTCTCTGAAGTCTAGTAACAGTATCAGCTTCTGCTCATCAGTATGGCTTTTGACTTACTTTGAACTCGTTGGCATTTCCAGCAGCTCCCTTATACATGACCCTGGTCTCGACTTTTCCGTCGTCCTGTTCTGAAGCGACAACCCCTAAGGAAGCATAAGAGTGCTGGCTCCACCACAACACAATACCAGCTTCGTGGCCTCTAACTGTAGGTTTGAACTCCATCTTTGCTTTGAATACCTCATTGTAAGAAGTCTGTTTCCTAAGAAGCAACGCCGGAGTCTCAGGGGATGTTAAGTCGTAGCAGTTACCGTAGAGCCTTAGCACACCCGGCTTTTCTGTAAGAGTATAACTTTGCTTGATGGGGGTGTCTTGGATATGTAAGTTTAACTCTCATTTGCTTGGAGAGCAAACTTACTCTTTTGGTACCATCCCAACTCCAGTTCATCTTCTGAAAGATCGGCATCCCATTTTTGCAGACTTGGCTTTGAAGCTGACTTGATGAGATCTCGACCTACAGTCTTCAGTGTGATGTTGTGACCATCGTTGAAGATTGGCCAGTCGTCCTTCCACTCAACCTTGACGAGAAAGGTCTCTCGCCCTATAGAAGTTAGTTCATCCCGTTCCTAAAGAGCCCAAAGAGATGGTAAAATAATACCTAGCTGCGGTTCCAAAAAGGTCCCCTGGTGTTGTACTGGTCTAACACCCAGCAAGACAGACCACCAGTCTCCGTTCCCGTCTTCAAAGATATCAACGTGTCCCGTTCTCTGGACTTCTTCATCAGGTCCATTGTACCAAAGAGGCTTTCCCTGGCTCTCCCACGGACCTAACGGGCCATGTTTGCTACGAAACACCCACTCTTGATGACCGGCCTCTGTACCTCCTTCAGCGGTCAAGAGATAATACCAGTTTCCGCGCTTGAAGATATGAGAGCCCTCGGCAATTCCATGGGGAGACTTTCGAATGACCTTCGGAGCGGTGAGGGTTCTTCCAGTTGAGATATCAATCTCGGAGATGTGAATTCCAAAGTCCTTCTGCTTTGAGTTGGGGTCTCGCCAGGCGAAGCGCATTGTTGTTGAGAGATAGACCTTCCCATCATCGTCCCAAAACAGCTATTCCTGTCAGTATTGCCGTGGGAACAATGTTATAAATTACTTACATCTTGGTCAAAACCAGGATTGTCAAAGTATACTGGGTCAGACCATGCATTGTCGTCCCAGATGTTGTCGGTCCAGACATAGAATCCTCTGGGAAAGATACGTTCCTGTTCATGTCCATCAGAGACTGATCCTATTCTCTCTTTTCGTCTTAATTTCTTACATCAACAGTTGGTCGGTAGCGGTGGAAGACACCATTCGCTAAATACCATCTCTTCTCCTCAGGTCGGTATCTCAAAGTACTGGCCCAACTACCCGCTCCAGGCTCAACGGTACGCATATCAATCTGACTTCGACGATTGAGCGCATGACCGATGAGTTTCCAATCAATTAGATTGGTTGACATGTAAATGGCGCATCCGGGGAAGAACTCAAATGTCGAAGTACTAAGGAAAAACGTCGTTGGGGTCGAGTCCGTAGCGGGAACTACACAGATGGTAGGATCCGGGTTGAAGCCCCGAATGACCGGGTTTGTAAACGTCAGACTTGATTCTTCAGTCATTATGCTTCCTTTGGCAACGAGAAAATAGAGATAGCTATCGTCATCAAGAACCGTAGGGTCGTTGGTTAACGGTATTTATATAAATCTCTCGAGTCGGTTAAGCCATACCGAGATGCTAAGCAGATCCGAGTTATGTCCACCAAGCTAGTAATTTTCCATGAATCAGCGTCTGTGAAACAACCCCCAAACTTGACATTCGATCTTGCGGGGTCATTCTTCGACCCCAATTATGCCGCTTCTAGGTCTAAAATTCGTTGCTTGACCAATCATTGAACGAAGTCATTACTTTGGCTTACATTGTTCATATTACCCTTAGAACTACTGTTTAGAATGAAACTTACTCGCTCATGTTTAGGCTAAAAGTCATGTTTAGTAGTATTCAACGCCTGTCTTCGATGGCTTATTACCTACTAAGGAGCCGACTCTGGCATTCGAAATCGATGAGACTTCTCATTTACACACCTCCATAGATCCTTTATTGTATATTTCCTGTTCAACCGAACATGTTGGATATTGAGTGAAGCTCATGTTCTACAGCAAAGCGCCTTCTCTCCAAATCAAGACTCATAAAATGCCAACCAATTGGTATTTGTTAGCACAGGGAATCGTCAGGCCACATCTTATGCTAGTTACAATACAGCGTACAGTAACACACAGCAGATACTAAAGTCTCACAGGGCTGACCACTTGTGTCATGGGCAGTCAAACTCCGAGTTCATTACATGATGGTGAATTGAGTGTCTTCAGCAGTGACTTAGGATTCCCGAAGGAATTCGTAGGAATTCTTAACCAAGATGTTGCTGGTGACCAACTCCTTGGCAACTAATTATGCAACCATGCCTTTCTCTCACTGTAATTTATTGAGAGTATTCAGGTACTCTGTCTCTATAGAGATACAAAATGCCCAACGTCATGATTAAATATCACAGATAAGTTCAATCAAGAAGGCGTTTATCTGTCCTCTGTTCTCTAGGTCAACAAGACTTCATCCCCTCGGTGATAATGCAGATTCGACGATAGCTACAAAAGCAGCACTACACCGAAGCTTGAATACTAATCATTCGACTTGAGTGACTCAGAAAAGAATATACATGACCAAAAGGTGCTCCAATAGGTACGCAATGTATTCAACCCTAATTTACCAACTTGCGGCGCAGTATGACACGCCAATAGCACTGTTATTGTTCGAAAAGTGTTATGAGAGTTCTCTGAAACATCATTGGTTTGGAATTTATCATATGTCTTTCCGATGGGCCGACGTGACAGCGGATAAATCCGTGTTAGGAAGTCAAGTAACACGCAATTTGCCGAGGACAGGGGACGACCAACGTATAAAGTGGTCAAAGATCCTGATATGATACTCGACGGAACCCACAAAACAATACCCCCATTCTACCTTCGATATGGCTCAAACGCAACAAGTCGATCCGGCAGCTATCGTCCCTGACGATGCGGTAAGCGTAGATGGTCTGAATATGGAGGCATATCTGACTATCGCTAGACTGAGGATACTGACTCTTCCCTTGGAGAGGTTTGTGATCTTCATGTCGATACAAAACTACAGTTCTTGTGGACTGACGATTTGTAGGATCTCCAGTCTTCTACTGCAAGTGTCTCTAGCTCGATCCTGAATTATCGCCGCGAGAACGGCAGAACATATCATTCCTACAAAGATGGAAGTAAGACCTCTCAGTCTCAAACTCGAAGCTTAGGCGCTAATTCATTAATCGAGAATATGCTTTGCCAAATGACGAAGCTGAAAATGAGAGACTTGGTATGATAGCCACCTTCAAATGGGAGCTATAGATGCTAATCACCCAAGATCTTCAACATAACCTGTTTCTACTCACATTTGACGATAAGCTTGGTTTATCGCCACCGAATAAACTCGATGCCAAGGTCAAGCATGTTCTGGATGTCGGGACAGGTACTGGCATATGGGCTATCGATTATGCGGATGAGCACCCTGAGGCTCAGGTAAGTATGCCTTTCCAAGTCGACTTTTCTCAGTTAACATGATTCTTTAGGTCATTGGGGTTGATCTATCCCCAATCCAACCAGACTTGTATGACAAAGTTTGAGAGCGAATGATCTTTTGCTGACGATTGTAGCGTCCCGCCGAACGTCAACTTCGTCATCGATGATATAGAGGATGAGTGGACTTATAGTCAGCCATTTGACTATATTCATAGTCGTGTCATGACATCTTGCATCGCAGACTGGGGCGACTATCTCAAGAAGTGTTTCAAGTAAGTATTGTTAAGGGCTCTTTTGTTCTCGCTAATAAGTGCAGCAACCTTGTCCCCGGTGGCTATCTCGAAATCCAAGAAGTTGACGTGAACATCAAGTCAGATGACGGCAGTCTCCGCCCAGATAATATCATGCTCAAGTCTCTGGCCCTGTTGAATGAAGCGTCTGTCATGTTTGGCCGACCATACCTCGATATCCTGTCTCTCGTGAATATCATGAAAACCATCGGCTTTGAAGATGTTGTCGTTGAGAAGTTCAAGTGGCCCATCAACTCTTGGCCCCGAGACAAGAAGGCTAAGTTGCTTGGAAGTTGGTGCTATACCAATATGGCGTGTGGTCTCGAGGCCTTCACTATGGCACCATTGACTCGTGCTCACGGATGGACGCCTGAGGAAGTAAATCTCTGGCTGGTCCATCAACGGAAGGCGATGGCTGATAGGAACACTCACGCGTATTGGCCGCTGTAAGTTGACTTCAAGCTTCACGAGGACATATCTGACTAGAAACTAGCTATTCTATCTATGGAAGGAAGCCATTAAAGGAGAACTAACAGTCTGGAGCCCTCAGGGGGGAAGAAAACTGATGTTAAACAAGGGTGATGAAATAAAATGACCTAAAGATTTACTAGCATATACTAAGCTTACCTAAATCTTTTCATCTTTTAGGACAGAGATTCTAAAGTTTTCATCCCCCCTAGGCTGGGTAGAATTGCTTACATCCGTGAATAAGTCGGCTTTAGCCTGGCACTGTTAGTGCTGGGCGGAATTCCGCCTGGTGGGGCTGCAATGGGGATAAAGTCAACCAAATCGAGACATTCTCATCCATAGAACCATTCACTTACACACATCAATCTCACTGAACCCATACAATGTCCTCCACCCAACTTAACAAAGTTGCCATATTTGGTGTAAGACATCCATCCATGGTGCAAATAATTCATTTACTAACACAGCTAGGCCTCTGGCAACTTCGGCACACCCATCACTGCCGCTCTCATCAAAGCTGGCTTTGACGTTACCATCATCACCCGAAATGAATCCAAGTCCACATTTCCAGATGGTATCCCTGTAATCAGAACAGGCTATACTCTAGATGCACTCACCCAAGCTCTGCATGGTCAAGATGCCGTTGCATGCGTTGTTGGTCCAGCAGGCATCCCTCTGCAAGCCACGATGATTGACGCTGCTCTCGCCGCTGGCGTCAAGCGCTTCATCGTTGATGATTATGGCTGGGGTCCAGAGTTTAGAAGCTATCCTGAGTTCGAAGCAGTGCGCGCCCAAAGGACTGTCGGTGTTGATCGCGCAAAAGAACATGCCGCTGCGAACCCAAACTTCACCTGGACCAGTATCGCGACTGGCAATCCAATTGACTGGGCGCTAAAGCGGTTCCCTACCATGGGATTCGACATCAAGAATCGCACGGCAATTATATACGACCAAGGCGACGAGTACTTCACTGGAACTACTCTTGATGGAATAGGTCAATCGGTCCTTGGAGTCCTTCAGCACCCTGAAGAAACAGCGAATCAACATGTCAAAGTGCTCTCCATCAAAACATGTCAAAATGAGCTGTTGGAAGCATTTCAGAAGGGAACAGGGATTAAATGGGATGTCCAGAGACGAACAACCAGTGAGCTCATAGATGGAGCGCGAAAGAAGCGCGACACTGGTGAAGGCGGCTGGATTCTTGACTTGGCCGTTGCTCAATTGTACGAGGTAGCTGAGGGCGGGAAAGCTCGCTGTATTGTTGCATCGTCATGGGAGGAGTCGGATTCTGGGCTGCTTGGGGTCACTCAGGAAACGCCTGAAAGCATTGTCGACTCTGTTCTAGCTAGTATTTGATCCATAGTTTCATGTTCTGGGATATTTCCTACCATTGAATTTCAACATTGGATTAAATGCCTTATATCACTGGATTCACCTGTCAATACCTCTCTGGAAGCAGATCGCCCCAGCTGGCTGCATGCCTGTTCGCCCTAAAGCCCCACATATATTTGGAGGAGTTTTAGGGCACAACCACCAAAATTTCCCACCTGAACATCGTATCGTCTTGCGCAGCTCCCGCCTCTTTCTGGTTGGAATTATTGCAGATTCACTCGATGAGCACGGAACATCCTCCACTAAGGTCTGGTCGCTGCTCTACTTCCGATCACGACTAAATCAAAGACTTTCTATAAAATCAGTATCAGACTTCGTCCACTTAAATCACCTTCCTAAAGTAGCTAATATATGTGCAGATAATTCGGGGCTTCAAGTGTGAGAGAAGACAGGCGGGTAGGGTACGGCCAGTAAGTGCAATCCAACATGTCAGAGGTCGTTGCTTGTCTAAGCAATGTCTAAGCAAGACAGGTATATAGGGCCCATTTCATACTGCAAAAAAAGATAGAATTATATAGAGAAAACTATTGAATAGAGTTATTATATTTCCCGAGGTTATATAAGCCACCTAAATATTAAAACCTTCGCCAGCGGGTAACCGCTGGCATATGGTCCAACTGAAAAAATACAGAGAAGATGTAAGCGTGTCCCCCCTAAATTCCAGTGTTCGAGCCCTTACTAACAGTTCTATAGTAGCATGGCCCCTGCACTAGATGACACATGTAATCAAAGAGACGCAAAACATTTTTTTGACCTTTCTTTATAATTTTTAGGTATGATTTACGGCTCAATTAGAGATGCTGGAATGCCTCGATTGAAGACATCTTGCCAGAATCTCAATTGCACGGTCGCGTAATAAAGGTAATTGCTGCC